TATTGTTCACTCAGAAGGGAAACCCTGGCGCATCTCAGAGAGGTGTCAACAGGTTCCTCAAGTCGAGTCATTCCATCCACAGAACCACTGATCCAAAGTTGTTCAGTTTCATTTAAAAATGGTATGAACATATCTTTGGGTCAATGGCTTCTTGGTTTTAGTTGATGCTTTTTAAATTATGAAAGCCCTGTGCACAGTTAGGCCAGTGAGCAGACTTTGTGTAATTTCCATTGCTCTGTTAGGTTAGGCCTAAAATAAAATAGGCTCTTATTATATGCTGTAACTATAAATTAACTGAAAGAACGAAGGAAGACAATTTAAATTTTGATATTTGTATTTAAATGTTATATAATCAGGTTTAATTTAACAGCTGCGTGTTAAACCCCTGAAGTTACCGGTTTAGCCAAACCTGTGTTAAACTGAGACTAAACTGCTGCTAAAATATTGACAGAGCAATAGCCCCATGTAGTTCAGTGGTTTTATTGCAAAATATATTATCTTTGGGCTGTTTAAGGCATTGTGGAAGGCTATTCACTCCTACTTTAACGATTAACTGACTGAAAATATGTTTTATCAAGACTGTTTTAAATATTGTTACTGTCCAAAGAAAAACAAGTATCTTTAAAATGGCAAGTTTACAAGACAGGGCAAAAATGTTCTTTGTTTTTAATGTAGGTTAATGGGAAATAGTTTTATTCTAAACACTTTAAGAGCTGTTGTTTCATTCAGGATGAAGGTTTCACACAATGTAAAGGGCAGCTGGTGAGCTCAAACAATGTAGAAAAAGTCTACACTCTGAGTCTATGCCACCTTAAGTTGTCAAACTGTATAAACACTACAAAAAGTTACTTATGGAATTTTTGTAAGTGCTATGGTTGCAAAAATAGTCATTTCACTTATTAATAGTTAAGTACATAATACTCTGTGGTGAACTTTTATTGCCCTTTCTGTGTACATGCAAACGTGAAGACTATCCTGGTGCTGGCAAATGTGTTAGTGCACTACAAATGAAAGGAATTGACCATCTCCTTTCATTTGGGCATAAATTTTACCTCTGTTGCTTCAGCTAAAGACCAGCAAGGTGATAATGTGACAGTATGCTGTTTATGACATTGAGACTTCTGGCTAGCACACCCTTAAGATGCACGATGTAAGAGGCTTTGTGACCATTTTCTTGTGAGATTTTTTGATCATCTTCTCATTGTTTCTTTCTTCTCATTTATTATGCAGATATGTTAACACTCTTGTTATTTATATCACAATTAGGTAGAACCAATGGGTTTTGTACTCTTTTTTGGTTCTCTGTTGACCAATGAAATGGACCAACACCCTTTTTCAGAACTACTTAACTTCCTGTAATCCTTATTCTAGGTGGAGATCTCTGTTTTTTTTTTGCCAAGAGCTTCTCCCCAGCTAGGACTCTCAAATAAACATATTACTTCGGAGATTCAGTTGTGACTGTTGTGGTGTTTCTTGTGTTTATTACTGGTTTCTTGTGTTTATTAGAGGTTGCTACAACAGTGCATAGCAATAAAACAGCACCATTACCTTGTCACTCTTCAACATTTTACATCATATACTCTAAGTACCCTGGACTCTTGGCAAAAAGATTTCTTATATAGTACTGAAAAGGGGTTCTTTGACTCATAACAATAGTGGAACCCTTTTTCGTGCTATATAGAACTACTTTTAAATGATCTGCATGCCTAAATGTTTTTTGCATGGTGACTTTGTTCTTCAGATCAATGGAGAATGTGTTGTATATGGTTCTATATAGATACCAAAAGAAGAACCATATACATATGTTTTTTCTATTGTCATAAGATTTACATTTTAACAGTAGCAGGACCCTTTTTGGTGCTATATAGAACTGTTTCCTTAAAGGTTCTGTATAGAATCATATACAACACATTCTCCATCAATCTAAAGAACCAACAACACATTCAAAGAAGTTGGGACAGGGGCAACAAAAGACTAGTAAAGTTGTGTAATGCTTAAAAAAACACCTGGTGGTTGATTGGCAACAGATCAGTAACATCACTGGGTATAAAAAGAGCATCTCAGGGAGGCTGAAGCTTTTAGAAGTAAGGATGGGGAAGGGTTCAACACTCTTTGAAAGACTGCACAAGCAGTGTAACAATTCAGGCATAACTTTTCTCAATGTAAAATAGCTAAGATCTTGGGGATTTTCCATCTACAGTACATAATGTCATTAGAAGATTCAGAGAATCTGGAGAATTCTCTGTATGCAAGGGACAAGGCCGAAAACCAAGATCAGGCTGCACTGCATTAAAAACAGACACAATTCTGTAGTGGAAATCACTGCATGGGCAGTGAACACTTCAGGAATCCACCGTCTGTGAACACAGTTCATCACTGTATCCACAAATCCAAGTTAAAACTCTAGAATGGAAGGAAGAAACCAGAATCCAGAAACACCGCTGCCTTCTCTGGGCCCGAGCTCATATAAGACGAACTGGAAAAGTATCCTGAGGTTGGAAATCATGGACACCACATCCTCTGGTTAAAGACCACATGCCTTGTTATCAGTGCACAGTTTAAAAGCCAGCTTCCGTGATGGTATGGGGGGGCATTAGTTCTCATGGCATGGATGACTTGCACATCTGTGAATGCACCATTAATGCTGAATGATATATACAGGTTTTGGCAACATATGTTGTCATCCAGATAATGTCTTTTTCAGGGAAGGCCTTGCTTATTTCAGCAAGACAATGCTAAACCACATTCTGCATCTATTACAACAGTATGGCTCTATAGCAAGAGTTAGGGTGCTGAACTGGCCTGCTTGCAGTCCAGACCTGTCATTCATTGAAAACATTTGCCACATTATAAAACAAAAAAATTCAACAAATAAGACCCCAAACTGTTAAGCAGCTAAAATACATCAAGCAAGAACTACAAAAAATTCCACTTTCAAAACTACAGAAATTGGTCTCCTCAGTTTCCAAACAAGAAGAGGTGATGAAACACAGTGGTAAACATGCCCCAACTTTTTTGAAATGTGTTGCTGGCATCAAATTCAAAATGACCCTATATTTTTCAAAAAACAATCAATTTTCTCAGTTTAAAATTTGATATGTTGTCTTTGTACTATATTCAATAAAATATATAAATATAGTAAATGATTTGCACATCATTGCATTCTGTTTTTCATTTACATTTTGCACAGCATCGCAACTTTTTTGGAAATGGGGTATTTGCTAGTACATGCTCACTTTTTTTTGGACTGCATTGCAGGCATCAATTTTAGAATGAGCAAGTATTTACAAAAACATTTGATCACCGTAGTGATCAGCTCCGCTATATATGCTGTGCTAACCGATGATTTGTCAGGCACTGATTAAGGGACTAATTAACTGGTTGGTTTTGTTCTGTTTCATTCATATTCATTCTTGTTGGAAAATATTTCCTTTGCCAGGCTAACAATTGCCCTGAAAGCAGCGGGTTCATTCGCTAACTATGAGCCTGCTAATGCTATTATTAAAACAGCTAGACGGCTACCCCTACTGAAAAAAGACCATTATAACCATTAGGATTAAAACGTGGTGGTTTTTCTTTTTAATGGAAATTGACTTAGAGGCTACTAGTGTCTACTACTACTGTAGGACACCTTAAGATCCCATAAGGAAACTGTTTAATGCATCTGGAATCAGTCTCAGAACAGCTATTAAACCATTTTACACTGGGTTAAACCTTTACACTGTGATATCAACCCATCAAGAAAACTCAAAATACCATTACTGACTATTGCACACCACCAGGAAGCAACAAAAACTTTTCATGGTTTCTATGATTTTTTCAGCAGGGACTGACTAGAAGATGACATATCACATCTTTTAGCCATTAACTAACTAAAGTTACTTTTGTTACCTAAATCCAGGTTCTCTGGCGGTATGCTTGGAGCTAGGAATGGTATTGGCAGTTTTTCCAGTATTTGTTTTGGACTTCAAGGTTTGAAAGACATGCAGATAAGCAGATTATTAACTCAGCTGACTGGGCCAGTCCAAAGTAGCTCAAACCACTGAGGTTTTTCTCTTCATATCAAATTTTTATGCAGTCAAAAGAGCAAAAGAAGAGATGGCACCCCTACACCTGTGAAGAAGGACTGTGTCCTGTGTGAACATCACATCTTCATGAATTTGCAGTGGCCCTAAATCCTTACGCTCTGCAAGCTGTTCATGGCACTTACTGGTGTTACATCTGATTCAGTTCCCTCTCAAATTCACATTCCCCTTCATAAATAGACCCCTCGGGCGCGCAAACTCACTGAACAGAAACCAACGGGAAGCAGCACTGGAACTACGGAAAGCAAGAAAAAGTCTGACAAAGGCTGTACGGATGAAAAGTTGACAGTCAGTAACAATGGCCATTTAACGTTAACGTTTCCTGAACTGTTTCGCTTTCCATAGTTCCAGTGTTGCTTGCTGTTGATGTCTGTTCAGTGAGTGAGTTGTGGAGGGAAACGTGAATTGGATGCAAGACCGACAGCTTTATGGAGACTCACAAGAATCTTCACTTAATCGGTCCAACATCTTTGTTCTTTATTACAAACTAAGCTTAGATTATTTGAATTATTTACAGTTGTTACAGACATCTGGCATATTGGTGCTGGGGGGTATTTAGCTCCGCGCGTGAGTGTGGTTATCTCCTTGCTCTAGGCTCATATGCTTTCATATTTATGAGCACAGCATGAGTAGGGTGTCATCGGGGGGGGCGGTAATGTTGTTTGACTGATTTGCACACTGTGACATGTCATGGTACTTTGGTACAAAAACGCATCATCTGCGCCTATAGCAGAGTTGAACCAGAGGGGTGCTGCAGAGGCGGAACTGACCGTGATAAAAATGACATTTTTACAGTTTGGAAGGATGCATTTACATTTTAAGCAAGACTGGTATATTTTATTATTACAGTGGAGTGCATTTCAGCTGTTAATGAAAAAAGGTCTTAGGGTGTAGTAAAGACTGTTAATCAAGACAAATCTCTAAGTAGTGTAGGTATGAGCAGCTTTAGTCAATGTGGCAAAAACATTTTGGAATGTCTCTGTTTCAGTTTACTCCCATCTAACAACTCAAGGGCTCTCTCTGCTTTTCTGCCAGCTTCTTTCAGAGTCTCCAGGCCATCCTTTTAACCTGCCTCCAGTCTTTCTAGTCCATGGGCTCCATCATCAGCCTCATGTTTTTACTCTTGTTTGTGTTTGCTGTTATGTTCCGGGAGATGTTTAGTGAGTCAGACCTGGAATGTCATCCTCCATTAAATCCTTACACTGGATGACAGGTCCCTGATCTATATGACCAGCAGAGACAACGGTAAGGGGTCATGTCTTTTTAGACTTCAACATGTCATGTGAAAAGCAAACTCATTAAAGTCATTAATTTCACTGAAAATTGTAAATTTATCAAATATGAGCTCACAAAGATTTGATTTGATTGTGATTCAATAAATCTTGAATGTTATGATGGTTCAATTACATTATTTTGGCAAGATTCAGAATTTTTAAAAAGAAATACACTGAACATACAAATGTGACTGGAGGAACTATTTATTATTAAGTAGTCAAATATCATTCACAGCATTTGGCAGATGCTCTTATCCAGAGCGATTTACAATTTGATCATTTTACACAGGTAGGTGAAGGTAGTGTTAGGAGTCTTGTCCAAGGGCCCTTACTGGTATTGTGTAGGGCACTTACCCAGGCGGGGAATTGAACCGCACTCGACAGCATAGAAGGAAGAAGTGTTACCCACTACACCATACCAACCACATATAGATAAAAAATACCATGCACTAATTAATTTTTAGGGGAGCGGTGAGGGGAGCTACTTCAGCCAAAAGTCGAACTCATACTTAATCAATTGTTATTATTATTTGTTCTCTTTGTAATTTGTTCTAATATTGCAAAGTCAGCATTAAGATGCATAGTTCTATCTGAGATAGATGCATAGTGATCTTGTTTAAGGATTTTGAGTAGCTGAGTTTTTACCTTTACTACTAATTTGAATAAAAACAACCAACAGGAGCACCTCATATCATTTTCTTCCTTGCTCTTTACCTCGTGGGTGAGTTTTTCACTTTATTCAAGTGAGTTACCTTGAATAACCTAACAGTTTTAAATCAGTTTTCATTTTGTGAACCACATGCACAGTACATGCTGATGTCTGTAACGTTCTCACAGTCTTTGAATTGTGTAACAGAAGTACATCAAGGCAGCTGGACGTGTGCTTTAATCTTAAAGGCATTTTGCCACTCATCCCACCTCTCAGTTGAACTGAAGACCCTCATATGGGCAGCAAACTGTCTTCAAGTTTACATCACAAGTCTGATTGCATTGATCTATCACTAGGCAGTGCATGCTAACTTCATCTAATTTAATCACTTGTTCTTAACTTTCTGTCTTCACAGTCTCTTCATTGCAGTGTTAGTGGATAACGTCCAGCGGAGCATCAACAAAAAGAGGGCTTTTAAGAGTCAACAGGTACACAGAGTTAAGACACCTGCAAATGAGAATAATGATACATGTGTAATGTTTCTGTGTTCTATGGTAGGATATATGGAACATATATGTTAGAAGGTAAATGTGTAACAGAACACTTAAAAATATATAACATCTCCATATTCTTGAGTTTTTTGATGGTAAATGATGTATTTTTGATATTCATGCAGTCTTTTTGAAATGATAAAAATCATCTATTTGGACTAAACAGCATCTATTATAGGTAGGGAGTTATGCAAACTTCAGTGTAACAAATGCTAAGTAGATCCAAAATGTTTATTCAATCAGAATTAGTTAAAAGAATCGTTTCTTTCTTACTGAGATTTGGTTTTGTCTAAATGAACACAAGGAAGAATTGTATGCAGTCATATTTCTTTTGTTCCAGTCACATGCATTCATACTGCAGTGAATACTTTATAAGGTTAAATTGTATTCTAAGCCTTCACTAATAACTTGGAAAAAGTCTTTTTGCGAGTGTCCACTTTGATCCATGTCATGGTTTCAGTTTTGTATCCCTCCAACAGCAAGCATTTGCTCATATAACCATCTCCAATGTGTATAGCTCTTTGGAATCTGTTAACAAATGTAGCTCTTTATGGATCCCAGTGTAACAAAAAGTGAGAACAATCTATCAAGCAAAGCCTTCAAAGCAGATAATTAATGTACTTCTTAATTTATACGCCTTCCAGTTTTGTTCTAACCTTCAATACAGCAGTGTCTGTAGCAAACCTCAAGTTTTTGATCTTTTAAATGGCCTCTTCTTCAATTTATATGTCCTGAATTTGTTGTTTGGATCTCTCTCACTTCAGCAGTACTGGAGATGAGTCAGACTGAGAAAGAGGAGGAACTCAAGGAGGATACAAGGAGGATCTCAGATATGCTTTCTAAGGAGAACAAACACAGCAAGAGGTGAGACAGGCTGCTTTAGAAATACTCATATTTGGCTACATCAAGCATGTCGATGTAGGATCAGTATAGAATCATAATAGGAATATGATTAAAAATTCTCAAAAGGCTTTTATTGTTCATGTTTATGGGAAGATAGAACTGATAACAAGGTATCTGCAATTAATGGCCGACATGGACCAGCACATGCAGAAGTATAGATCACAAACTTGTTTGCTGGACAAACTTGTGGAAACCTTCTTTAAGGTGAGTTGCTTTTCCATATACATTTTTCTATTAAGATACGCGCGACTACCAAAAAGACTTGCGCTGGTGTTAAACATTGTTAAAATTCTTTAACATTCAGAATTCAGTATCCAGCTTTAATAAGCAAATCTTTGCAAAAACATTATCCAGCTATATATGAATATAAAGAGCAAAAAATGCCTGTAAGGCACTATAAACAAATATATATCCCTAGTAATATTTGTGTTAAATGAATGAGCTGAGCTGTGTAAATGCCAGCAAGCCAGCAAAGCATCAAATGAGAACTGCACATGTAAATACACATCAAAATTGTATTTGTCTTTACCGGTCATCAAAAAGTTACTGACACAGTTATTGTTGTTTCAGGACCGGGATCAGGAGACTCAAAATGACAGTGATGAGTAACATCAGACGTGTAGACCTCCAGCATCCACCAACCCGTTCCAGTTCAGAGCAGTATCCACCAAGTAGCGCACACACAAGCAAGCACGCCTCCATCACCAATAAAGCCTGAAAGCAGAATACAGCTATGTGATTAATGCATGACAGTGTGTAGTAGCATGTTCCTGTTTATACTAAATGCACTAGACTTCAGTAAACACATCCACGTATGCAGACATTAGTAAACAGGTTGGAATTTGTGGTCGAAAATGCACATTTAATTGCCTCAATCAACTCTGGCTTTCCTGAAATTGACCCTCATTTCTTTGGTCTTGTTGACGTTCAGAGAGAAGTTGTTATCTTAGCACCACAGGGTCAGCTCTCTCATCATTACCACTTATTAAAGTAATTACTCTGGTGTCACCTGTGAATGGAATGACAAACACAGTCATGTCAGAATAGGCTGCTTAGTGGAAGGTTAAGATAGCAGTGATGAGGTGTGTCAGTCCTAAGTACTAATGTGGATGACAGTGCAGTATCTCTCCTCACAGTCTGGAGCTGCTATTCAACAGAACAAATAACCAAGTGCAGATGGAATTAGTGAGCCCCCAACACTGAGTTTAGACACTAGTTTAGATATTACAATTATATTAAAGACTGAGCTATAATAAAAAATATAGTGGCTGGAGTGCGTAACGTATTATTTTTTGTTTGTTGTTTTTACAAGAAATCCTTTGTACTTTTTACACTTTTCATGTTGTTATTTTATGAGGTCAAACTGTGAAAGATTATTATTAAAATGTTATTAGAAGCCTTTAGCTAACAATATTACTATAAAAATTACATAGATGTTATAAAAGAGTTCCCTTCATTTCCAAGATGATGAATAACCTCCAAGAAAAATGTAGGATGTGGGTCCTTTAGTGTCTACAGAGAGTTGTGAAGACAGCAGGAAAAATGATTGGCCCAAATCGGTATCAGAATGTGCAACTGGTTTGTATGAGCATGTGAACTACACTGTCTCTGTACTGTGTTAAACAGTGATGGTTTGCAGATTTTTAAATTGCAGGATCGCTTTTTTTTTTATTAAAGTCTACATTATCAAAAACATCTCAAGCTGTAAGAGGAGAAATTTAACGCAATAATACAGAGTTGTGAAACGCCTGTAGAGCTAGACCAATCAGATGCAACCAAACCTCCATGTGTTGTGACATCCCCACCACAACTCACTGGCTTTCTGGCACACCACATCAAGGGGTCAAGCCTCAAGCCAGAAGAAGTGGATATTCTTGGTAAAAAAACAAACAGGTCTGGACCTCAATTTATAGAAGACAATCGCAATTTAAATCAGAATCGCAACATTAGTCAGAAATATTGTCCCCAAATCGTTCAGCCCTTGTTTGCAGTATATAGTGTGTAAAATCTCTACTTTAAGGTGTCAATGTAAGACCAAAAATATTTTACTTCAAAAAAATTTGCCATTTTAATTTAAAGTAACCAGACTGCCTTACAATTTTGAATTAAATGAACTTCTGCCATTAAGTATAAAGGATGTATTACATTCTGTTAATTTCGTATTGGAAGTTCAGTTCAAAATGTAAGGCAGTCAGTTGATTTAAGTTAAAACATGATTTTTACAGTATTGAATGGACGAGTATCTGAACAACCGCTACATAAAATCAAAGATCATGGTAAAACCATGAATCCTCTCTGAATTCTTCGCTTTGCTGTTACCCCATCAGAGCACTGAAGGCGGGGCTTTACTGAATACGGGTGGGATTTAAAATAACGACCGTTGCGTCTGTTTCCGTGATCTTATGGTTCCAGTGTAAAGCCGCTTCGGGCCAGGTGGTGGCGCTAATTCTGTAACTATAACTATCTCCAACTGCACTACAGCGGAGAAGCAGAAGGTTGTGTTGTGCTCAGCAGTCCCCGCCTCCGCGCTCATACAGTGTTGCTGGAGGAACAGAAATAAGAGCTGAACTGTTGAAGGTAGGAAGCTGCCCGACACCTTAACACTCACTGTTCTTCACTCACTCTGAGACAAACAGCTGGAGACACATTTGAGTTTTGAAAATAAGATTTGATGGGTTTAAAGTAGATTAGCCAACACAGAAGCAGCTGAGTGATGTGAGCTGATGTCCCAGAGTTTTTTCTAGTAGGGTTTCGCAAACAAAGAGCAGTTGCTGATTTGTTTATGATTCATACTATATATGTACAAGATGTGACAACCTTGTTGAGACAACGTAAACAGCACCACCCTTTGACAACGTTGTAGCAAGGTTATGAGAAAGTAGACAACGTTGGACATGTAGCTGTAATTAAGTAGAAATACTGACTGATATGTGCTGATATTATCCAAAGCGGGAATACTTGTGTAGTTTAGAAAACCACAGTTTGTTCTAGAGCAATATGAAGTACTTCCTGAGAGCTGTTAATGTCTGGGTGGGGGTTACTGGTCAATGGCTGGTAGATTAAGAGCTAATAGGTATGTCTATGGTGGGTGTTTAAGGTCTGTTCAGAGGGGGGTGTAGTGTGTGAGAGCTGTTTAAGAGCTTGATGGTCTAGTTCAGATGTTCCCAATCCCAGCCCTGGAGAACAACACACTTTTTACACATATTTTTGTGTATTCACTACTTTTACACACATGACCCAGTATGTGATCAGTTAAATGAGGTGTGTGAGATACAAGAAAGCATAAAACTGTGTATAGTGTGCCTCCTTGTCAATGGTACTTTCACACATATGCAAGTCACCCATGCTGTGGTCACTGATGCACCCACATACCATGATAGATGTTGGCTTTTGTACTTTTTGCTAAGTCTGGATGATGATGGATGGTGAACGATGAAAAATGCAAGTTGAGTTCTCCATGCCAAAAAAGAAAGGATTCTCGACTCAACTTGCATTTTTCCGAAAAAACAAGCTGAAATGTTGACTCATCTGACCACAGCACACATTTCCACTGTCTTTGAGACCATCTGAGATGAGTTCGGGCCCAGAAAACTTGGTGGCCTTTCTGCATAGAATTGATGTGTGGCTTTCTCCTTGCATAATAGAGTTTCAAGTTGCAGTTCTTGATGCAGCGGCGGACTGTGTTAAGTGACCATGGTTTTCTGAAGTGCTTCTGAACCCATGTGGCTATATTTAATACAGTAGCATAACGGTTTCTAATGCAGTGCTGTCTGAGGGCTCAACGGTCATGCACATTCAACAGTGGACTGAGATTTCTCCAGATTCCCTGATTCTTTTCACAACGTCATGTACAGTAGATGGTGAAATGCAAGAAATGCTCTTTTTGAACTGCTTGACAGTTCTCTCACAACATTTGGTAGTCAGCCATGACCCATCTTTGCTTACAAAGACTGAGCCTTTGGTGGAAACTACTTTTATATTCTTTTATACTTTTATATATCATAATACCCTCACCTGTTACCAGTTTACCTGCTTATTGTGGAATGATTCAAAATGGTATAACTTCACTATTCTATAAACTTCACACTCTTATTTTGCCTCTCTCCCAACTATTTGAGAGTTATGCAGAAATTTTACATTTACAAAATACAGTAAGGTTGGTCAGCCAAAACTTTAAAAGTCATTTTTTCTACTTTTGTCAGTTAAATAAAGGTTCAAGAGAATTAACAAATCATACATTCTTATTTTTTTTGCATTTTACAAAATGTCCAAACTTTTCTGGAAATGGGATTTGTACATTTTATTAAAATTTATTTGGCTATTTAAATTTGATTGATATTTACATATGCATATTTTCTGAATACTATCCAGTTTCTTTAACATATCTTTGTTTATGCTAATGAATACATGCTTTTTGCATATTTATAAGATCAAAGTAAAATGACATTATTACTATTACTTGTGTTCAATTTAAGTGGCTATATGCACTAAAAGTACATTTAAGTAACAAAAACTAATCTTAATACTTTTCACTCACTGTATTTACTGCTGTGCATCAACATTAGAAATATTCTCTTTCTGCAGAATCTGTGTTTGTTGTTGTTGCTGTTTTTCTGTCTCTGTCCTCTTTGTGCCTCTGCCTCACTGCCACTTTATCACTGCAGTAACCCTCAGCATTTCTGAAATTAAATGTTTAAAATGTCCTTTCGTCGCATTACTGTACTCGGTAGTTAGCTTCGTCAACTGCGGATTAGCTGGCTAACTAACATATCTATTTGGCTAAATATGGAATCAAATAAGGGTCTTTAATATTTTGAGCTGTGAACTCATGTTCAAACTATTTCAATTTGTGATTCTGCAACATCATTGGTTGTGCTCGAAGCAGCATGCTGATTGGCTCGTAAGCTCAGGCATAAAAAGAGGGTCAAAATTCATGCTTGTATTTCATAGCTTGTAGCTTGTAACTCCAGTGTCGCACACAAAGGTAGTAAATTTGTGTGTCCATATCCCATATAAAAATAATCCTGCACATTTTTTATTACACATACACAGATAATTGTGTATCAACAAAACCTTTTACATGTGTAAATTATATCTAGGTTTACAAACTTTTCACATGCACAACATTTTTGTACATCTGCAGCTACATGTGTATGCATTTTTTTTTAAACGCACACAAAGAGTGATATAAAACTGCAGGATGTGAAATTTCAAAATTTCACAAACTCAAAATATCAATGAACCTTATTGGATCCCATGGCTAACTAACATCAGCTAGATAACCAAGGTAGCTTACGTAGCTTTGATATTTAAATTTGTAGCAACTGATAATCTCCAAAGAGTACCACATTGGCTGATCAACTAATTGTACAACTCCGCTTTTTGGTTAAATAGGTCTTTGATTTGTGAAGATGATAAATGAGCTAGTTGGCTAATAACTGTCTCACTTTAACTAACATTAGCAATTGCTGCTAAATAATTGCTTAGAACTTATTAACTGATGCGGTCTGATACTGCGCTCATTTACTCATACTCATAAAAACTCACTGATACCAACATTTCGTTACTCGCAGCTACTGAGTGATTTAAGCCGAGTGTGCACTGCGGTACTAATAAACAAATGCAGTGAAGGAGGCTCTGCTCACACAGTGAAGATTTACTGACTCTGTGACAGTCGGACACATATAGACATATAGGCGACATGCAACACAGAGGCGAAAAAAGTGGACATTTACTCTGTTTGACTGAATAGAATTGCAAGGTATAAACATTAATATGGTGATTTTTTTTTTGTATAATAGGCACTAGACAGATTGTAGTGTACTACCATCTGAATCACTGTCTGGTTTTATCTTCAGAGCTCAGTGTTAGCTGCGCTGCTCAGTTTCTCAGCGTGTTTGCTCAGTACTCGTACTTGTTCATAGACAGAGCTGTCTATAGAGGCTGCATTTCATGTAGCATGAACCGAACATTTTCGTACTGTGTGAGTATATAAATCATAGGCTTTGTCCATTCAGTGTGAGTCAACAAAGAATAAGATTTCTAAAATTGTGTTGTGTGTGTCTGGCTTTAGAAGACATTCAGCTACAGCTAAACCAATCAAACAAAAGCCACAGAAAAGGCATAAAACTCAAAACATGAGCTTCTTGGATGAATTAGCCTTAAACCAGCTTTTCTCCACTGCAGCACTACTCTATCTAAAGTAAATAATGTAGCCTAGACAATTAATGCACTTCATTTAAGGTACTTTGCACTCATTTGCAGTAATAAATACTTAATTATAAGTAGGTAATTCATTATAGTATCGGACTCTGTATCGGCGAGTGCTACAAATAATGTACTTGTACTCATACTTGGTCTAAAAAAAATGGTATCCCTAATTTACCTTTACTACTATGATTTCTTACTAAATTGTTCAAAAATGCTCATTTAACCTGGCTTCATAGCCAAGCTGCTAATTCCTGTAAACAGCTTAATGCTAAGCTTGTGGACTAATTATTTTGATTTTTGTTATCCTACAGTCATCAACTGCATGGATTGGATGCCGAATTAGTAAGGGATTATCAAGAAGCAACTTTTTAATAATACAGACTTTATAACGCATGTTGTACAAATTTACAAAAGTGCAAAAGTCTTGGCTACTTCTGGTCAAATTTTGTTGATTCTATAAATGAAAGATTAATACATTATTTGCATGAAATAAACTAAAATATGACATTTCTACAATTTTAAATGCAAGATCACCATTTATTTGCTAAATTCAATAGATTGAAATAATAAAATATGGTGTTTGCAAAAGTTTAGACAGATTCTCAGTCAGTCAATGGTGATTGGATCCACATAGTTCAATTTTTGTTTCATTAGACACAGCACATAGACTGCAAATTCCAAAATGCCTGTGGTTTATCTTTTGCTTGTAAACTTCAGACATTGAAATTTGAGATGAGATCAGAGTTAAGATTACCTTCTGATAATCTGTCCACGTAGATGATGGACAGCACAAACACTGCACCGTAGGGCCGTAGGGCCAGTGCATCACTGATCCCGTGCCAGCAGAACCTTCTTGGAGGTCTTTGGCAGTGAGGAACGGGGGTTTGCTTTGCATACCTGATCTACAAGCAGTTTTAAGAGACATGTCTTGGTCTTTTCATGAGCCCATGGCTGTGAAGTGTAAGCACCCTAAGAAGTTTGAAGGGTCAAAACATTTTATAAAGGATAAAACATTTTAAGTTTGGAACCACTTTGTTAACCACAGGATGTGATTCTAGAAAGTCCCATTGTTTTTTGCCATACAGAAATCCAGCTTAGACACAGAGCTTTTGATATGGACATGACAGCTTCTATGGAATGATGGTACAACTGTATTCGTTTATGTGTCTGTTTGAAGAGTTTTGGTGATTAGGTGATTGGCTTCTCCACATCAGATGGAAGTTTATACTTTAGACTTTTGCCAGTTGATGTAAGAAGGGCATTCAAGATTTAGACCAGACTATTTTTGCTGCATTGCACTTTGAGTTTATATTGTCTTTTATCTTTTCTACTTACAGAAATGAATGACGTCCAGTTTCAATTCTTCTCCTGCTCCTAGGATCCACTTTCCTACACTGCTCGAACATACTTCTGTAAACACATCAGGACATTCCATATGGCCTCCAGAAGAAGCTGTATTCAGCAAACATCATCTGGTATCCTCCACACAAACACATCTCACAGACAGACAAAGAAACGAAGCAAGAAGAGAACTCACAACTGCTCAGAGTGTGGAAGGAGTTTTGATCGACAGAGTAATCTCAAAATACACCAGCGCATTCACGCAGGAGTTAAACCGTATTACTGCTCAGAGTGTGGGAAGAGTTTTACTGTACAAAGTTCTCTCAAACAACATCAGCGCATCCACACAGGAGAGAAGCCTTATCACTGCTCAGGGTGTGGGAAGAGTTTTAATCAACAGATTCATCTCCAACGACATGAGCGCATCCACACAGGAGAGAAGCCGTATTACTGCTCAGAGTGTGGGAAGAGTTTTAATCAACAGATTCATCTCCAACGACACCAGCGCATCCACACAGGAGAGAAGCCGTATCACTGCTCAGAGTGTGGGAAGAGCTTTACTCAGCAGAGTTCTCTCCAGCAGCACCAGCGCATCCATACAGGAGAGAAGCCGTATTACTGCTCAGAGTGTGGGAAGAGTTTTACTGTACAGAGTCATCTCCTACAACACCAGCGCATTCACACAGGAGTGAAGCCGTATCACTGCTCAGAATGTGGGAAGAGCTTTACTGTACAGAGTACTCTCCTAAAACACCAGCGCATTCACACAGGAGAGAAGCCGTATCACTGCTCAGAATGTGGGAAGAGCTTCAGGCATTCAAATACTGTGAAGTCACACAAGTGCACTATGAGCAGTGGTGGACATGGGCAGTAATGAGTGTAACCATAACACCATGTAAGGAGTCTGGACAAGACTAGAGGGGAAAACCGTGTTTTGTTGTTTCACCCTGTGTCTAAAGTACGTGCATAAAATGAAACAAAATTTCCTGTGCTGAAGTCAAGCCTACAGTATATTGTATTATGATAAGTTTATTTCTTTCACAATTAGGGTATTCTTTCATTGATTCATGAATGCATATGTGTGTTAATTACTTTTACAGCTGTCCTGGTGTAGGGCTTAAAAAAGCTGGTCTGTGAGGAGGAGTTGCTCTACCCCCACCCCAAATGGACAGAATTTACTTTTCTGCGACCTGGGTTGTATCCAGACACACTGAAAGTTAGTGCTTTCTACTGATCCTCCTCCTCTCCTCCTTGATCTGAAAATTGACTTCTTACTAGATGTCTGAATACCAGGGGAGATGGGAGAAGCCATTCAAAACACCTGCTGAAGCCGATTTGCATCAGGGGAAAGATTGCCAGGATGCCTTTTATAGATTTTAAGGTGGCATTACTACACGCACAGCCAGACAGGAGAGACAAACATGGCGCAAATCAACTGTATTTTAAATTCTGTTTTGTTTGTGTTTATATTTTCTTTTTGTCATGTATGTTGTACTTTGTGCAATCAGAAAGAATGATTTTGCTCAGTAGGTATTTCAGTTAAGTTCAATTAAATATAACATTCATTTTAATTGAAACTTACAAAACTTTCCCCCACTTTCTACTTGATCGCTAACCTCTGTCAGGTCTCCTCCTCCAATCCTGTCAGTTTCCTTCAGCTTCTTTCTCTCTCTCTCTTCCTGTGTTCAGTAATACATTAATTTTATTAAACTCTTGATGTCAATGTCAAAGATTGACATTTTCACAAAAAGCTGAAGTCGCTTCTTGTTTTAATTTTCTCTTTCCACTTTAAATGGTGGCAGCAGTTACATTCTGCCAACTTAGAACAGGAAATTTCAAACAAGAACCTGGTGAATAGGAAGCCAATTCAGACTCGTCCTTTTCACTGACATTAACTTACCGTAAAAACAATAGATGGGAAATACTGCAGTAGTGCTGTTGCTGTTTCCAAATACCAAAGAGACATCTAAAAGAATATAAAGAGCTGTCAGTAATGTCATTTCTGTCTCTCTGGCTCGTTCACACTGATATGATTGGCTTACGACTTGCAAAGTCTAATATTCCTCTCTCGATTATCACTGGATCCTCTGAATTATGAGGCCATTAAAGAGTTGAAGTATGAATATTGCTACATGTAAGCTAATGCTACTGTGCACTGAATTGACATCAGTAGACTGGCAGCAAAGGAAAGTTATGGGCAAGTGATTAGAAACTGTTTTAAGGTTTCGTTTTTAGTCATTTAGCTCCATTTACTCCCATTCATTGAGGTATCGCTCACGGACACCCTCTAGCGTTTTGCAGTCATTTTTTTAATATAACAGGGGACGTAGGAAGAGGCCAGACTCCTCATAAACCGGATCTGGTATTTCTCCTCTCTACAGGTTCTCTGATACAGCTAGAGCCAGGCTGTAGAGTTTAGCTCCTACCCTAATCTAGCACACCTGATCCAGGTCATGAAGTCCTTTATAGGCACCTGAATGTTAGAGCCAGGTGTGTTGGCTCTTAACTCTCCAGGACCATGATGAAGAACCCCTGCTCTACAAGTTCCCTAGTAGGTTATGGCAGAGGCAGTGCTGAATTAGAGCAGCAGCAGTGCACCCTCCAGGTCTTGCCCTGCTATTACATTATGCTGTGAACTATGATTTGGACCAGTGATCTACATTTACGTGGGAAGGGGGCTAAATTACATTAAAACGATCCTAGCGACGCCCATGGAGCTAACTAATGCTAATTAAGATAGCTAGATAACGTTAGTGACCAGTCTGAGAGAAATTCGAACAGACTGACCTAACTTCTCTGCACATCCCATCAGTTATCAAAGCTTTTACTGACATACATTTTAGTTTCTCCTGTTGAGAGGAGGACGTTGCTGTGACCATCTGCACCAGCGATATCAGCAGTTAACATTCCCAGTTTGTTATTGGTGTAATGGAAGTATGTTTGAGCCTAATGCAGAAAAGATTATACAGTACACTCAGTATTACTGACTCAGTATTAATGACTACTCGTGTTAGAGTAGTTTGAATTTTGAATGGCCCGTGATCTGTCCAGCACTACCTATAAAGGTAAGCAAGCTTTTAAACTGTCTGTTAGAAACCATTGCAGTATTGTTGAAATTAATTTGCCTTTCTGATTCCATGGCATCATGGCTCCTACCATACACGCATTTAAAAAATACTAATATCAATAAAACATGTTAAAATGTGTTTGCGTGGGCTATGGAAATAATATCCACATACAGATCAAATCATTTAATTATTTTATTTAAAGTATTTCTATGTTGAAAAGGCACTTCAACAGCACTGCCCACTTCTACCCTGTTCTTTAACGGTCAAGACCCCCAAAAGCACCACCACCACATAGCAGGCAAAATTTTTGTGGTGGATCATTCTCTGATCATTGAAGAACAGGGTTAAAGGGGGCTAACAAAGTATGCAGAAAAACGGATGGACTACAGTCTGTAATTTTAGAACGAAAAAGTGCTCCTATATGGTAAGTGGAGGTGATAAAATGGACAGTTAGTGTAGAAACAAGGAGGTGTTCCTAGTACAGTCATTGGTGAGTGTATATGTTGTATACATATAAACATATTTAATTAATTCATATTAAATTCATTAAATAAATTTCTAATAAACTCAAACATGAGTAGCATGTCAAGCAGTTTGTCTGTGCCCTTTCTTCTGTGTTGTCCTTGCATGTAGTTTCCACCATGGTTTGCTGTGCTGCACGGGAATGCCACAATCCCTTGGAGAAAGCTTTAAGAATGTACGGTTTCCCCACTGACACAGAGAGGAGAAAAAAATGCTTCGCCCAAGTTACCTCAAGTTACCATTACTGAAGATTACGACAACAAAAAATATCTGAGGTAATCATAGTCAGACACATTTGTACTTCTCTCAAACAAAGACCCCACCACTGGGATGCATAATGTTTGGTTTATTAAAAACAAGGAACAAGGAAAGACTTACAAAACCAGAGTTGAGACTCAGGGTGCAGGGTGAGGTTGCTGTCTCATTGCAGCCAGTCCTCAGGTTCCATTGAGCTCCACTGTGGTTCTTGTGCTGGAAGAAAGAGTGAGAGAGCAAGAAAAAGACAGAGGTGAAAGGGTTAGACACACCTATATAGGCTTAGACAAGAAATTGCCTTGGGAAATGAGGTCTTGGGAGATGTTGTCTTTGTTCCTCAACTTAAGTTATAGAACTTCATCAGTTGTGATCATCAACAGGTTTTGCTGCAAATGCAGCTAGTGGCATTGGTTACTGATGTAATATGAATTCACATAAAGTTGTCTCATGTTCTTGGTTGAGTTGTTGTATGTGGTAAGTAAAATTATGTCACTCTACAGGCACATTTTGAGGCAGACCAGTTTGTCAAGACCAAAAAGGACAAGACTAGGCGGAGAGCAGATGTTATTCCCACCGTCTTTGTGCATCACCCCATGGTCAAAAAGAGGAGGGCCCCAGCACCATGATGTACTACTGGACCTGTAAATATAGAGCCCATAGCTACTGATCACAGTTATGATGTTAGTGGTAACACAGGTATAATACATATGAATTCTTAATAATTATAGTATTTCTTATTTTTAAGTGACATAATACTTTGAATATTTAAAAACGAACAGTACCATGTCTTCTACATACATCAGTTTCAAAGATTGAGGAAAGAAGGGATGAGGAGACTGAGAGAAGGGAAAGTGACAGTGAAGAAAGAGAGTACATGGCTAGTGAGGAGAGGCAGGGAGAGCTTATAATACCCTGTCAGCCAGCAGCCAATCAACTGGATCCATTGAAAAAATTAAGGAGACAAGAAAACGTTACCAAAAAAGCAAAGGCAGCACTGAAAAAAATAAGGAAGAAAAATGCTGCTCATAAGAAGACACAGAAACTTAGGGACAAATCATTATAGAAAACTTTTCCAAAAGACGAAATTAAGGATTTAGGCAGACTAACCACAAAAGGGATTAAATGGAACAATGACACAGTTAAGAAGGCGTTAAAAAATCGCTTTGCTGCTGGTCCAACAGGTTACAAAAGCCTGCAGGAATTCCAGATTCTCCTCCCTGGAATAAGAACCCTGCAAAGAAGGATGCAATGTATTAAATTTGAGCCTGGTGTGCTGACACAGGTCTCTGATTTCCTAAAACTGAAGGATTGACAGAGCTTGAAAGGGAGTGTGTGTTGACCTTGAATGAAATGGCAATCACACTAAGTGTGGAGTTGCACATGCTTACTCGCAAACCGTACAGTGATCTGACCTTACCAGGTCACACAGGAGTAGCAACACACATGCTCGTGTGTTTATGTTGGCTGGACGCACAACACAGTGAAAGCAAATAGTGGCATATCATTACAATGGCAATTCTGCCAATGGAACAGAGTTCAGGCCAATAAATTCCTGAAATAATGCAGAGGGCAGCATCCATTGGGCGACATATGCTTAATGTCACCACAGGAATGGGTAGCCCTAACCAGGCCATGTGGAAATCCTTTGGGGTCGACCACAATAAAACATCAGTTCCACATCCAGCAATACCGGACAAGCAGCTCTATTTCGTGCCTGATGTCCCACATCTGATAAAAAATCTAAAAAGTTCCCTTGTCTTCAGACATGTGTTCATAATTTCTGAGGATACTGCAAACAAAGAGAAGCTCCTCTCTAACGAGGTTTCAGTGGTCCATATTAAAGACATATTGACTTTTCAAGAAGGGATGGCACTGAAAATAGCTCCCCATCTGTCAGCTGCATCAATCCAGGCAAATCACTTTGATAGGATGAGGGCTGGTCCTACTCCAAATGTATTAAGCAAGGCACCAAGTGCTGGGCTGAAATACATGGTGGAGCAAGACAGCTGCCCTCTGTCCTACATGACTACAGCGTGGCTCCTAGAGTAAGTCAAATTACATCCCTGAGCAGGCTCAAGACACCTCAAGACATGGAAATCATCCATCTGTTCGGTGGGATGAAGACCAAAAAGAGCATGACTAGGCTGAGAGCAGATGCTATTCCCACCATCTTTGGAAGCCTGTTCAGACAGGGGTGATCATGGCAACAACATCAATTTTGGCCATACAGGAGGTGATGCTGACATGAAGACACAAGTTTGTGTAACGTCAAGGTTCACACAAGACTGCGTTGAAAACATCACTCCATCAGTCAGAAAGGAACAGTTGACAGCAGTGAACAGATCTGCACCTGACCTCACAAAAAACAAAGAAGTGAATTTTCTCCCATCTTTCAGGCTACACCATCCACAAAGTCATCAGATTTTCCAGCATCTGTGAAAAATGCAAAATTGCAATAGCAGAACAAAGACATTCCTGCTGGAGAAAACAGTATCTTAGTGCACTTAAAAGAGTTCAAGGCAGCTGATCTTTGTCATCCCTCCCAAGAAGCATATGACTTCTTTCACTAAATTAAGGAACTATTTAGGACCAAGACTGGTTCCTTCCTCAGGCACTCTGCAGCAGGCTTCCATCTTGCTGTGGAGTATAAGAAAAAATCATTAAAAGATTCATATGGCTAAAGTTGAGAATTTTTACGAATATTTAACTCACACCCTACCCCGTAAAAAAATCCCATTTAGAAGCCCTTATCGCTAATTCCACAGTGTTAGATGAAATTGCATTAAGAGAAGGAAATTTACAATTAATAGGCTGTTTGTGGTTAATGTTATGTGTTGCTAATTTCATTGAGTATCCTAACCTAATCTGTTAGCATTCCCTAAATCTACTAATTTAGTGGAGGATAATCCACTAACATGCTTTCATGCACGTTAATTTGATTCAGATGTGCTGATAATATACAATCTAATCCTTTAAATGTCTTACACTTTAAAAGTTGATCACAAACTGTCTATTCTACTGCAACTCCACTGCACTGCTAGTGTTTGCTGCTGACTTCCCAGGAACTTCCAGTAACGATCCACCATTGCTGTAAAAAAAGGTCCTTTA